CAGACATCGATTTTCAATACGGGGGAATACTGGTCGCTCGTGGGACAACGACGAGTTGAATACAATTCGCAAGTACAAGAGTTTTACAAGTACTGGGAGTTTTTCTCTTCTTCTTCTTCTTCTTCTTCTTCTTCTTCTTCACTTTCTAATAAGGGGGGAAAGGGGAGTTACGAAGTTTGGCACTCTCATGTTTTCCTTTCTTTTTTTTTTCCTTTTTGTTTTTTTTTTTCTTTTTCATCGCTCGTTTCAGTCACACTGGGACGCAGTTGCGCGGATGCGAAGATCGATTTCTAAGTTTTATGAATTCGTTTGAATTGGTTTAGCATTTAGATTGATCATACGATGACAAGTAGAATAAAGAATTCAAACAGATCATTAATTCGTAAAAATAATTTCAAATTCGATGAAAATTAATAATCCAAATTCCAGTCGTTAAAAGTCGTCGAAAATTGGTATAATTTTGAAAATAAAAAAAAAAAAAAGTCTTTCTAGTATTTTTAATCAAAGAAAACAATGATGCGAGTAATCAGTAATCCGCCATGTTGACGCCATGTCAAGTGAAAATTTCCATCCAAATTCCGATACAATATTTTTCTTTTGTCTCTGATTATCGAGTGTTTGATTTGGTGCACATAATTTCAAAACTTACTGATTTCATGAAACGTAGAAATTCAAACGCATATCCATATTTCAGTGTGCGTAGGTCGCTCGAATCGCGTGTCCACACATCATCAACAAGCACTCATATTCCTCTTATCCCTTTCTCTCTACATAATCCTCTCTGCGTAATCATCAACTTCCTCCAAAAGCGATCAAAACGCGCTTTTCCACGTCGAATTATTTACATTACTCGTATAGATACACGCACTCATACACGCGCACAAACATACACTCGCTCACACGCGCATATACGCAAATACCACACGTCCTTCCGTTTCGATCCTTTTGAACAACGAAACGGGGGACGCTTGATCCACCACGGATCACAGTCTACGATTCTTCTCGATATTTATTCATTTATTTATTTATTTATTTATTTATTTATTTATATGTACACGAGCAGGTTGTGCTCCGCCATCAGAGATTTTTATGGCAAGATGCGCGTGAACGCGATATATTAATAACCATTTAGAGGAGGATTAGAAACCCGTCTGATCTATTCGATCCGTTTTCCATTAAAAAATATTCCGAAAGGAATAATCCTCGAAATATATTCCCAAGGAACATATTCTCTCGCGTTTCTCTTCGAATCGATCGAGGAACTATGGTACAAGAAAAACACCGGGAGAAATTAGATATCACCGAGAGTAGCGCAATTCCATCCGTCGAGAATGGTGTGTTGGAAAAAAGTTCGAAAAGGTCGATCGAGTTTCTTCGAAAACGTTTCAACGGGCTACGTTGAAGCTCGAGCTTCCGCCGGAAACCGGTCCATTTGGCCTCGGCTCTAGGGGAAACAATGCCTCCATTAATCCAGCTTCCGCGCACAAACTTCGAAAAACGAAGTTGCGCAATTCCTTCGATCGTCTTGGAAAGTCTGGTCACGTTTTTCTTTTTCTCTCTCTCTCTCTCTCTCTCTCTTTCTTTTTTCTTCGATCGCTTTCGACGAGGGGGATACGAGGGTGAGCTATATGTCAGTCTTGCCAACGAAGGGATGCCAAAGTGCAGTCTTCCGTCGTCGTCCAACGACGACTAGTGGAATTGCCGATCGATGGAGAAACATCGGCAATTCCACGATCGAACGATCATGAGCTTATCCACGCGAGTTCAACGTCGCGCGCTGCTCATTCGCTCGTTCACTTTTGCGATCTTTGGAAACTCGCGCAATTCCTCGACAATTCCTTCGAATTGTCATTGGTTCCGATTCTTCACATCTTCCCTAGCCTCTTCTATCCGCCGCTTTCCGTTCCGTTACATCTTCCCTCGATGCATTCTTTTCTGGAATTTCGACAATTCCAGAAGTCTCTCTAATTGTTTGAGCAGTCTGCCTGTTACAAGACAATCGATCCTCGTGTAACACTCACTTCCTAAGATTGTGACACACGCGCGATCTCACTATCGACAATTTTTTTTTATACAATTTCTGGTCGATCGGCGAGAAATTTTTCCATTTCCACCGACAATTCTCGAGATTTCGATCACTCGCACTAAGTATCGTTCGGCAATTCCAGCCGAAGTTTTTGTTTTGTTTTGTTTTTTTTTTTTTTGTTTATCCCCAATCTTTTCAAATTCGAAAACTCTCTACACTTTTCACTGCGACGATGTTCTTTGGATGTTCACGATAAAAAAAAAAATTTCTTCTCCGACAATTCCAAAAAAAAGATTCTCGATTTCGTCCCGTTAGATCTTCTCGATACATCGTGTTCCTTGGCTTTACACCCCCGCGATTCCAAATTTTTACACAGGCAAGCCGGGCAATTCCGGCAATTCCATCGCACAATACAACAAAATCCAAAAGATTTTTCTTTCTCCATAGGGATCTTATATCTTCTTGTCGATCATGATCGAACCACGGTTGCCACAAATTCGAGCAATCGTTCATCGTCGGTCAGACGCAATTCCTGGCACCTTAGTCCAGGCAGAGAACGTCTAGCTACGCCTCCGAGCCGCTAGAACACTCCTCCGCCTCCGGATCGATGTGCTCCTCTTCCTCCTCCTCCTCGTGGTGATAATCTCCGGTCTCCTGTTGCCATTTGCTCACGTGATGGGTGTTCTTATTGTTGGAATTGTTGTTCGTGTTCCCGCCCCCTCCACCGCCGCCACCACCTCCGCCTCCACCGCCCCCAGATTGCTGCTGCGCTTTCGCCTCCTCCTCTTGCTGCATCCGCTTGTGCTTCGTCCGTCGGTTCTGGAACCATACCTTCACCTGCAACGATCAGAAATCGATTTTCCTCAATTCGATTGCAGTTTACAAATTATGAAACAAATTTAATACGAATCGAATAGTAATAATCGAGTTAAAATAAATTGTCCGCTTGAGGATCCCTAGACTGATATTCTAGTAACAAAATAATCCAATATTTTTCCACTTCCATCTTTCGTAAAGATCGTATTCCAAAATTAATCGTGAAACGTAACTTTGACGAAATAATTTTGGAAACGTAACAAGCCATATCTAATAAGAATTATTACAATTCACGAGTTACAACATGATTAATAAAGTCGATGAATTTTTACGCGATCTCAGAAACAATCACAATTCCTCTCCCCCTTCTATGAAGAAAAAAGAGGGAAAATAAAATAAAAATTATTCCTTTGAGCACACAAGCGCAAGCCAAATCACGTCTAAAGCGTAAATAATCGATCCGGCCAATCCAATTCCAACATTGGTAGGGATTGTGCGACCCCACAGCCTCGGCAAATTAAGTGGCAACTAGTTATAATCCACCCCGGTGTATCAAGGAGCCACCCCTTAACGGGGTGTATCCGGTTACAATGGGCCGTGTCGTTGACGCGGAACCCCTTTCGCCAAGGGGGAAAAGAAAAAGGGATGGGACGATTGGCTGGAAACGATCCCGTGCCCGAGAAAACGTCCATTGTCCCCGGATCGACTACGTTAGATACACATTGTCCTGTTCCTGCTTCCTGCTTCGCGTGGAAGGGTTGAAAGGGCTCCCCATTTTCGAATTATCTACGCGTGAAATCAGCATTGTCGACGATCGAAAGAGGGGAGGGGTGGTGGAAAAGGGTGGAAGAGGGGTATGTTTGTCTAACATACGATCCAACGTGGTTTTGACAAGACCCGGATTAACCCCTCGTCGAGGATCGAACGACGTGCGTGGAGATCGTTCAGCGATACGGTTTGCAAATGGAAATTGTCACGATGATGGAGTTTAGAGTGGAATTTGGGGTGGAAATAGGGTGAGGAATGAAACGGTTTAACTCGTGTTTGGGAATTCTTTTTTTAATTGAATTTCGATGGATTTTCTTTTCTTTAAAATTCAAGTATTTTCGGCTGATTTCGAATTTTTGATTAATGAACGAGGATTTATTCGTTTCGGTATGAAGAAATTGTGAGCTTGTTCTTTTTCTAATTAAATATGAAAGATCGACAGGATCGTTGAATTTCGACGCTTTTGAGTTGATATAAAGGTTGGATTTATTGAATCAAATGAGAAGGATCAAAATGATGATATAAATTCATTTCTAAAAATCATAATCTCAAGAAGATTTAATAAATCTTTCTTTCAAAATTCCTTACCATCCAATTATTCACCATACGAAAACATATTTTTTGTAACGTTTTTATAAAAAGAATATAACGCAGACATTAAAATTTAAAAACCTGTTCCACTAAAAATAAATAAAAGTAAAGTGTTAATATATTTATGGAACCAAATTTTTAAGGATCAAACACGAAACTTCTCCACGAAATTGTAAAAAAAAATCTCAGTTGAATCTTATTTATATAATCAATTAAACAGAACAAATGAGATAGCTCCATCTCCATAGCTCTCTCGCAAACTTAAAATTGTAAAACCTTAACGAATAAATCTTAAGATTTTTTCTCAATTCTTAATTCTCAAATTTCAAAAAATTCGAGGACCGAAATCCGAGAAATCACGAGGGGGGAAAGATTCCGCGCATAAATCGTCCAAGCATTGTTTGGAACATCTTTTATACGATTTTTACGAGCCATGCTACTACACACCCCCAATAGCGAAACAGCAGCGTCGTCGACGAAGCGACGATGACTCGAGGGAGGGGGGAACGGTGGAGAGATAGCCAGGTTAAACCGAGTGTAAATCGAGCCGCAGTAAGGGTGGTGGAGGGGTGGCGGTCTGCCGAAAGAGGAGAAACGCTCGAGCTGATCCTGGGGAACGGGCCACGTAGAAAGGGGTGGCCGGGTGTTTCCGCGTGCGTGAAGATCCGCCAATCGGGTTTCAGGAGCGGCCGTGGTCGCCACGGCAACGCCTCGGGGACGCCTAGGGTGATTACGAAATGGGGGGGTAACTCGATTAAACGTACGACACGCCGAGGAGGGTGTCCTGTGGGGGGAGAAGGTAAGGGGTCGCGATTCTCTATTTGCCCTCTTAATCATCCGTTAAGTGCCACAATCCTCGAAAGGTCCCCCTGGGTGCTACGTAGTACAGAGAAGGAGAAGTGGAATTAGTAGAAGCTCCCACGTCTGTGTTACGTTACATACGTGTGAACGTGAAATCCTCCTCCCCCCTCCCCTTTCTTGTCTTCTTCTGAACTCTCACACGTCTCGTTAATTTCCCCCGGCTAATTGTTCGCTTTACTCGAGTTGGAGGGAAATCGAGATCGTGCAAGGAGTTATAATATTATTGGAAAAATTAAATTGGTATTACCGATATTAAACAGATAAAATTTCCATTTTATTATCGTAAATAGACAACACTAGAGTTATTGTAATAAACCGATTAGAGAAACATGAATTACTAGTGAAGAAAAAGAAAATAAAAGAGAAAATCTATATCTAAACTGAAAATCCTATCCTTACGTCCAAGAATCGCGACGCGATCGAACCTTCTCCAACTCTGGCTCGAACCGATTGGTCGCGCGGTGGATCTGGACAACCGATCGAATAACACGAGGCCTTCCATCCCTCGATCGAATTACCACGCGGATTACGGCTAATAACAATCCTCGAGGATCGGCCGGTTGGATAACGAAGCCGTGTGTGTGTGTGTGTGTGTACGCGGTTTAACGTACGTGCGCGAGGGAGAGCCGTAATTGAAGCTGCTCCCGGGACGCTGCGCTAAGTGACAGGTGAACACCTTATACGCGAAAAGGGATAAAAGTGGATATGGCGCGCCTACTCCTCTATGGGGAAGAGGACGAGAGAAGGACGACGCAGGTGTGCGAGGACGTGCTAGTCGGAGTGGAGGCTGGTTCGTGGAACGTCTTCCACGTCTTCCTTGAAAGGAGTCGCGAGGCACCGACTGTCTTACCATATTTGCGTTTCGGAAATTTCGCTGATTGATGGCGACCAACCGCATGGGCGTAATTGGCGTCCCGCGGATCTTAGGTGGCGAGAACATGGCGATTGGGCGGTGACTGGGGTTCAGAGAGGAACGGAGAGAGGAGGTGCATCCGGGGGGGTGCTCGTCCTTCTTTCACGCGTCGTGATGCTTCAGGTCGAGTATATTTTTTAGGTTTTTTTTTTCTTTTCTTTTCTTTGGCTCGTTGGTTGGAGGTTTAGGAGTAGGTAAAAGTTTTAGAGTGAGAGAATTTTATGTTATCGACTGTTTTTTTTTTTTTTTTTTAATTTGGTTTTCTGAGATTTGAGAGCGAATGAAGAGTTTTCGATTGATTCTGTCTTTTTGAGGTGGTCTTAATTTTTGGAAGAGATAACGGTTTAAGAATTTTAAATTATCGTTTTTTTTTTTTTTTTGAGATTTGAGAGGGGGTGAAGAGTTTTCGATTGATTCTGTCTTTTTGAGGTGGTCTTAATTTTTGGAAGAGATAACGGTTTAAGAATTTTAAATTATCGTTTTTTTTTTTTTTTTGAGATTTGAGAGGGGGTGAAGAGTTTTCGATTGATTCTGTCTTTTTGAGGTGGTCTTAATTTTTGGAAGAGATAACGGTTTAAGAATTTTAAATTATCGTTTTTTTTTTTTTTTTTGAGATTTGAGAGGGGGTGAAGAGTTTTCGATTGATTCTTTCTTTTTGAGGTGGTCGAAATTTTTGGAAGAGATAAAGGTTTAAGAATTTTAAATTATCGATTGTTTTTTGAATTTTTAATTTGGTTTTCTGAGATTTGAGAGCGAATGAAGAGTTTTCGATTGATTCTTTCTTT